AGAACATCATTTTGTGCCACTCCCAACAGAAATACTCCAGGTGGACAACTTCAGCAATCAGGAGCTCCTCAGTTGCTCATAGAAAATCCCACCTTGGAGTTTACAAAGACTTATGGGTAGAAAAGCCACACTAAGTAATTTACTACACCACACTATTTTATCTACTTTTTCATGTTCTCTTCCCACTGGATTCAAGAAAAAAACATAATTGGAGATACATTTTTCTTTGGTATTATTAATAGCTATGCAATTTTATATGGTCAATTGCAAGAAAAATGTTTAAGATATAAGCCTTCAAATATGCAGCTTGATCCACTTTGGCATAATACATTGCTGTAGCTCAGTGTATTATTTTTCCTGTCTGAAATTTGTCTAGTGTATTAGAAGAGAAAGCTAATTTCCATTAACCAGTGAAATCAGTAAATAATTCCATTAAATAACTTCATAGGTTCATTTTCTTTAAATGAATACTACTACAAATGTATCATGCTGTTGTTGTTGTTATGTGCCATCAAGTCACACCTGACTCATAGCAACCCCCTCCTTGGGTTACTGAGGCAGTATCACTATGGAAATAGATTGCCCAACCTTCCTTCCGAGGAGTGGCTAGTGGGTTTCAACCGCCAGCCTTCTGGTTAGCAGTCAGGTGCCTTAGGCACTACACTACCAGAGCTCCTATCATGCTAGATTATTATTTTTTAATTAGATCAACTGATATGTTTTAACATACATGGATTTTATAACAGGCTATTATCTAAGACTTCATTGCTTTATTCTAGGTCAGTATGATGGCAAAGGGAAACCATTGCCTGAATACCATGCACGAATCACTGGGTTTGATGAACGGGTAGGTATATGTATTTGTAACCCCAGTCACTGTAATTTTCCTAGTTAGGATGGTCAGTGTGTAATGTTCAGTCTTCAGATATGGAGTGATATATTTACTAAAGAAAAGACTCCCCATGTCAGTCTCAATTGTACAGAAGAGTTTTCTGATTCTATTATTTCCAAATTTCTTAGGGTTTCCTGTGTTTCTGTATCAGTCATATTTGAGGATATAATTAGCTCCAAGAGTAAGATGTATGCATGTGTGTGTTCACATCCATTATAAAAATCATGTAGAATTAAATTTGTAATCAAGAATATGAAATTTCTGTGGACATAGTAGTAGGGAATAAACAGGTAACAGAAATACTTCACAGGCCCCAAAGTCTGCCAGCAGTGCCAGTACTCAATTCTCTGTTCTTACCAAATAAATGACTTTTGTTTCTCTGTCATCTCACTCTGTCTGAAAAGAGAAGCCAATCTCTTCTTAAAAAATGCATGCTAACCAGCCTCACTTTTCCTCTTTTGATAAGGATATGATGGGCTATTTTCTCACTTTTTCAGACTACACCTAAAATGTTTTCTTAATTTTTACAGGTAAAAGTAATGGCTTCTATCAGAAAACCTAAGCGTATCATCATCCGAGGACATAATGAGAGAGAATACCCTTTCCTTGTAAAAGGAGGAGAAGATCTGCGACAGGACCAACGCATCGAGCAGCTCTTTGAAATCATGAATGTCATTCTTTCCCGTGATGCTGCCTGTAGTCAGAGAAACATGCAGTTAAAGACTTACCAGGTCATACCCATGACCACCAGGTAGTGATCTTAAAGTAGATTGATATCTACAGAATTTCAGCACTGTGCTAAATCCTTATTTCATTTTCCTGAGATGGGATTGGAGGTCACTTGGCAATTCAGTGTTTTAGATTTGACAAAGAAAGGGAACAAAACAGAGCAATTTACACTAAACATTATACCTGTGACTTTACCTGTGACTTCTGTCTTGATGTGGAGAACGTAAGTGAAAAACTAACATGAAGAAATCTGTTTTGCACTGAATCTAATAATCTTTTTTCTGGAGAGGAGATATTAGATTGGGTTTATATTTATTCATAGTCTTTTCATTCTCCTTTTCAGATTGGGATTAATTGAATGGATTGAAAATACTTTCACCTTGAAGGAAATTTTTCTTAATACCATGTCACAAGAGGAAAAAACCGCTTATATGAGGTAATGTGAAGTCTAACTATTCCTACTACGTCTAGTCTGCTTTTACCCATGCTAATCTTCCTGAGTGAAGATGTTTCAGTTTTCTCCACCTCATATTTCCAGTATTTTAAAATTCCTTCTAATGGATACTCTAACTCTAACCCTGTCTGGCCTGTCCTTTAATCTGCTCTGGCAGGGTGAATAGCTAAATGTAGTAGAGGCTACTAATAAGTACTTAAGTTAAGGATATAGGTTTGCATGAGATGACAGAGTACTGAAATGCTAGGTAATGGATTTAATGACTTCAGATTGAAGGGGAAAAAAAACTTGAGTTAAAATGTGTACACCAGTTATTTGTGTGTGACATGGAGCAAATTACTTACTTGATAATCAGTTTTCTAATCCAAAAATGGGAATCATAGTACCCTTCAAGATTGTTGAGAGTATTAAATATATTTAAAGCACCTAACACATTGCTTGGGGTATAGCTTGCCCTCAGCACTTGATAGCTATTATTGTTTCAATGATAATAATTGTTATGCCATAAAATAATACTTCTAAAATGAGGAATTACTGAAATATTTCAACAGGGAATTTTTTAATGAAAACATCTGTATAATAACCATTTATTATAAGAATATACCAGACAGTGTTTCAACAATATTCATAAGATATGAATCTAGGAAAATTGGAAGTTGTCAAAAATGAAATGGGACGCATAAAGATCAATATCCTAGGCATTAGTGAGCTGAAACGGACAAGTTTTGGCCATTTTGAATCAGACAACCATATGATCTACTATGCCAGGAATGACAAATTGAAGAGGAATGGCGTGGCATTCATTATCACAAAGGATATCTTGAAGTACAGTGGTGTCAGTGACAGGATAATATCCATATGCCTATGAGGAAGACCAGTTAATATTACTATTATTCAAATTTACGCACCAACCACCGAAACCAAAGATGAGGAAATTTAAAGATTTTAACCAAATTCTGTAGTCTGAAATTGACCAAACATGCAATCAAGATGTGTTCATTATAACTGGGGATTGGAATGCAAAAGTTGCAAACAAAGAAGAATTACTGGTAGTTGGAAAATATGGTCTTGGTGATAGAAATGACGCTAATAGAAAACATGATAGAATTTTGCAAGACCAATGACTTACCTTTTTTTCAACCACACAAACAGCAGCTATACATGTGGACTTCACCAGATGGAGTACACAGGAATCAGATTGACTACATCAGCGGCAAGAGGCGATGGAGAAGCTCAATATCTTCAGCCAAAACAAGGCCAGGAGCTGATTGTGAAACAGAACATCAACTGCTGATATGCAAGTTCAAGTTGAAACTGAAACAACCCCACAAGAGCCAAGATATATGACCCAGATCGTATCCCTCCTGAATTTAGATAGCATCTAACAATAGATTTGATGCATTGAACACCAGTGACCAAAAACCAGAAGAATTGTGGGATGACATCAAGAACATCATTGATGAAGAAAGCAGAAGGTCATTAAAAAGACAGAAAAGGAAGAAAAGACCAAAGTGGATGTCAGAGGAGACTCTGAAACTTGCCCTAGAACAGAGAGTAGCTAAAGCAAATGGGAGAATTGACGGGATAAAAGAGCTGAGCAGATTTCCAAGAGCAGCTCAAGAAGACAAAGTCAATTGTTAAAATGAAATGTGCCAGGAGTTGGAGTTAGAAAACCAAAGGGAAGAACACACTAGGCATTTCTCAAACTGAAAGAACTGAAGAAAAAATTTAAGCCTCAAATTGCAATATTGAAAGATTCTATGGGCAGTATGTTGAATGATGCAGGAAACATCAAAAGAAGGTGGATGGAATACACAGAGTCACTATACCAAAAAAGAACCGGTAGATAATCATCCATTTCAGGAAGTAGCATATGATCAAGAACCAATGGTATTGAAGGAAGAAGTCAAAGCTGCACTGAAGGAACTGTCAAAGAAGAAGGGTCCAGGAATTGACAGAATACCCAGTGAGATGTTTCAACAAATGGATGCTATGCTGGAGGCACTCACTTGTCTATGCCAGGAGATTTGGAGGGCAGCTACCTGGTCAACTGACTGGAAGAGATCCATATTTATACCCATTCCAAACAAAGATGATCCCGCAGAATGTGGAAATTATCGAACAATATCGTTGATATAATACACAAGTAAAATCTTGCTGAGGATAATTCAAAAACGGTTGCAGCAGATATTGATAGCGAACTTCCAGAAATGCAAGCTGGATTCAGAAAGGGACGTGGAGTGAGGGATATGAAAGCTGATGTCAAATAAATCTGCTTCAAAGCAAAGAATACCAGAAAGATGTTTACTTGTATTTTATTGACTTTGCAAAGGCATTCAGTTGTGTGGATCATAACAAATTATGGATAACTTTGAGAAGAATAGGAATTCCAGAATACTTAATTATACTCATGAGGAATCTGTGCATAGACCAGGAGGCTGTAGTTCGAACAGAACAGGGGGATACTGCATGGTTTAAAATCAGGAAGGGAGTGCATCAGGGTTGTATCCTTTCACCATACTTAATTCAATCTGTAGCTGGAAAGCTCCTTGGAAATGAGAATGGCCAGACTTCATGTCACCTACTTTGGTCACATTGTCAGAAGGGACCATACTCTGGAGAAGGATATCATGCTTGGTATGGTATAGTGGAGGGTCAGCAAAAGAGGGGAAGGCCCTCAATGAGATGGATAGACACAGTGGCTGAAGCAGTGGGCTCAGGTATAGTAACAATAGCAAGGCTGGTACAGGACTGGGCAGGGTTTTGTTCTGTTATATATAAAGTCACTCTGAGTTGGAGACGACAGCACATAACAACAACAACAACAAAGTATAAGAATATTATTTTTGTTGGATAAGAATCAACATAAATCCAGACCCCAAAATGTGATTACTCGAATTCTCCCTTTTCCACTTCTTGGTCATTTTAACAACCGTGCCCAAGCAGCACTCTCTTCTCTCTGTCTCCAGCCATTTGGAGCTAGGTAACAGCTCACAAGTAGAAAGGACACTTTCCTTCAGACTACCAAATAGGCAAGTACCAGCTGCAAACTTGGGTGTCCACATGACACCCTTACTTCTGACCTACTGCTTGAAAATCCAAGGTTTTCTCATTTCCCCTTCCAACTGCAAGCTTGGAGGCCTCGCCTGGGCTCTCTCACTTTTGCTTTCTGGCTCCCACTACTCTTCTGAGTTTAATAATTTGCTGGAACTACTCAGAGAACTCCTAGAAACCAATATACTTACAATTACAGATTTATTACAGCAAAAGGATACAAATTAGGATACTCAGAAAGAAGACACATATGAGCAAGGTCTGAAGATTCACAATGCAGAGTTTCCATATCCATCACCCTTCCTTTGCAAATGAGGAAGCTCTTGGAGCTTCAATGTTCACAGCCTTTATTGGCTTCACTACAGAGTCATGATTGAGGCTACATTGCATATGTATGATAATGTTAATTGATTAGTTTAGATTAGTTGATAATCAAAGATCTTCTTCATCTGGCTCACCTCTACTTTGCACAAATCTTCAGTTGTGGCATGGAGGTTTTAGATAATAAAGTCACCTGAAGTACTCAGGAATTGTCAAGTGTTATCTATCAGGAACCAAGGACAAAGGCCAGATTGTTTTGTTACAAAGTAATTTATTACTGGGCAGACAGCACAAATGGATGGCACATGAGAAAACTGGAAGCATAGGGGATTCGTGGGCATTCTGGAGGCACAGTGCCTAAGTCACTTGACTGCTAACCAGAAGGCTGGCAGTTCAAACCCACCAGCTGCTCCTTGGAAGGAAGGTTGGGCAATCTACTTCCGTAGTGATACTCCTGGGAAACCCAAGGAGGGGTTGCTATGAGTCGGACCTGACTCCACGGCAGTGAGTTTGGTTTTGGGTTTTTAGGGGATTCGTGAAGCTACTTCTGTTGCCCAAGTCTGAGATGAAAAAGGTTGGACCTATAGGGCTGGTAGCAGGGATTGAAAATAAGTATGGATTAGTTAAAACAAAAGAAAATATACAGCCATTAAAACTGTTTATGAAGAAATTTGCTTCTATAGCAAAAACTCAAAATATGATGGATAAAGTAGGCTTGAAACCTGTTATAAAAATATGATGCCAATTATTTTTTAAAAGAAAATATTACTCAATAATTCTCTTCTTTTTCAAATTTTATTTACCTTGTTGTTATTGAAAATATTCACAGCAAAACATACACCAATTCAACAGTTTCTACATGTATAATTCAGTAACATTGATCATGTTTTTCAAATCGTACAACCATTCTCACCCTCTTTTTCTGAGTTGTTCCTCCCCTATTTACATAAACTCCTAAAGTTCCTATCTAATCTTCTGAATTGCTTTTTTCAGTTTGATCCCATATGGATAGACCTTGAAAGAGCACAGTGCTCAAGACAGACATTCTTTACTAGTTAAGCTAAGCTATTGTTTGGTTTTAAGAAGACTTCAGGGGATATTTTTGGTTTAAGATTCAAGAATTATCTCAAAGTACTAGTTTCAGGTTAATAATTCTTTTTACTTTTAAGTAGGAGCTCTGGTGTTGTAGTGCCTAAGGCATTTGATTGCTAACCAAGGCTTGCGGTTCAAATCCACCAGCCACTCCTTGGAAGAAAGATTGGGTGATCTACTTCCATAGTGATACTGCCTCAGAAACCCAAGGAGGGGTCGCTATTAGTCGAATCCAACTCAATGGCTGTGAGTTTGGTTTGGTTTAAGTAAGAAAATATAATTAAAACAGTGTGTGCACTAGTACATGAATTAAAAAAACAATATACCAGAATAAATCCAGAAATGGGACTAACTCTATACACTAATTCAATATATGCCAAATGTAGTAGTATTACATATCAGTGGTGGAAAATGAATTATTCAGTAAATGATTTGGGGCCAACTGGATAGCCATATGGAAAATTAAAGTAGAAACTGTAACAGTACTAAAGGAATATATAATATGTTGTTAGTTA